TCCACAATGGCTGAGACAGCCAAGTTTCCAGACCCCCTTCCTCCTTGATTAGAGCTGTGCCTGCATTCTTAAACAGAACTGTGGGGAGGTGTGAACTGTGCACAAAACACACGCACAAGGCTACAGCTAACTTGCTCCTGCATTTCCCCAAACACACCAGCTTTGCCACTCAGCCAGAAGGAGATTTTTGTTAGCTTTCACCAAGAAAAGGAGCTTTATCCCATGCTTGAGCCAACAGAGGGCAATAGACACAAAATTCAATATTGAGAAGAAATGCTTTTAAAAGATGACTCTGAGCAGCCCAGCCCTGACTGTATCTGGAGTCACATATCACAGTGAAAGGCAGCATTCCACGCTGGACCTAAAACCTTCTCAGGCTCCATCAATTAAACCACCACATATGGGGTGGAAGAGACTCAGCAAGGAACTCTCACTAGGCTTCAATGAAAACCAGATGTTGTGGGCACAGCTGTCATGCCTCTTATCAAGAACAACAGAGCAGCCCCTGCTGCAGTTTCATCAGGAACCCTGCCCTTCCTTCCCTTCAGCCCCAGCACTACTGAGAGTCCCTAACCAGAACCAAACAAAATCCCCATGGCCAAGGCATGCAGGAATCTTCCCCAAATATTGCTATTTATGTTAGCATACTGTTTATGGATCTCCAGATCAGGGTCCTGCTGTGACTGTCACTGTGCTTGAGACATGATGAGACAGACCCCCACTCCTACCTAAGAGTGGCTTCACGCCCTCCCTTTAAAGCATAATTTGGTGTTGGCTCCAGAATTAGAAGGATTAGAAGGGAAGAAGTGTGTATTCCCTCCATAGGGATAGAGCTCTGGCCAATTTCATTTACATGAATTATAATGCATTTACCCATAGGGCTCACATGCTGTGTTTGTTGCTTTAGATGGAATTCCAGATTGCTAAATTCCAATTGTATAAATGATAACAGATTGCTGCTGGGATTGCACCCATGAGAGCACATGGGAATTGGGCAGGATATGCCCTGAAGGGTCTGAGTCATCCTGACCTACAGGCAGTGAACTCAGCACTGGAAATGTGGTTCAAAGCAAGGGTTTCTCCTGAGAGCTCAGAAGTCCTATCCCAAAGTTGGGTCTTTGCCCAAGGACCTGTTTTGTTCTGCATTTCCTTGGGTCATTTGCCACAGAGTGATTTTGCAAGACTGACCATTCTGCTGGTGACAACAGCATTATTGTTGTTTGCACTCGTAAATGATAGGCTGAAACCAAATGTACCTAAATTTGATTGCAAATAAACAAGTAAAAAAGTGGAAGAAGGGAAATAGCCCTGCAAACAAACCAAAACATTTTGTTTGGCCTGACAGGGAAATTTTTTTTCGGGTGAGTAGAGAGATATTTCAGTTTCTCATCAACTCAAACCACTATTTTTTGTCAATTCAACAGTCAACTCAAACCCTGATTCTTTTCACAGTAATTCTTTTGAAAACTGCTAAGCCTAATTGGACCCATGAGTGGAGTTTAGGTGGGTGAGGATGGTGACTAAGAGTTCTGGACTTCAACAAGTCAGACAGTTCGTGCATCCATTATCATGTTCCTGTTTTCCATCCTGACACTGACACAGGCAGACTCTGTGCCTGTGAACAAGCCATGGAAGCTGCAGCCAGAACAATACAGGCAGTTGCTTTTCTGGCTGCAGCAGTCACTTGTAAAGGTTACCACCTGCCATCCAACCTGCAGCTGTTCTTCCCCTGTATCTGCACGTGTGCCTCTTCTATCAACATCACCTTGTGCTTCTCAGGAACTTCTAAAAAATTGTTGTCAAAGATAAAACAAAACTTTCTTGCTTTAAGCACATTTATTCCTGACAGCATAGGCCAGGCATGAGTGTGAGGGGGAAGAATTAATATAGAGGCTTTTTTAAGATAAAGAGACATCTTACAGCAGTCCTGGTGGTTTATCCATGTGGAAATGAGATTGCATACCAGGTGTTTTGTAAGCAGAACACAGTAATTTAAAGGCAAAATTGACCTTTTGTGATCTGTGTGATGTGTGGAGCTAGTGCGTGTTTTCCTTTTACTCTGCTCTGCAGCTGATGTGTTTCAGAAGTAGCATGTACAGCTCAGATCTGCAGAGACAGGGAGTTACTTACTAATATAAAAGCAAGTCCAACTTCTCTTTAGATACCCCAATGCTCCAACAAACAGATCTGCCTTGGATCTTGCAGCGACTCCTCATAAGCCATCTGATACCTTATTTTAAACCTGCTCCTCTCAGCTGCAGGTATTTTAGCAAGAAGCCACTCTAGCTGATCCTTCACTTTAATCCATGCTAAACCTCTTGTCCTAGAACTGTCTGATCTCACAGGGAGGAAGAGGAAGACACATGGAAGGACTATTTGCTTACCCACACAAATACAAATACATTCTTATTTTAGACCAAAAGCTGTTGGAGCCAATGACTGTCACACATTATGGACTGTGGTTTTAGTGTAGGGCTTCAGTGTATCCAGAGGTCCAGGTTCTCCAGTGTCCCTGCTACAAAGAGCAAAGCTGGCTAGCTGGCTTCAGCTTCAGAAAGAGCTGAATGGCCTTTTGGGAAGGGAAACAAGTTTGAGCAGTGGGTGCACTCACATTTCAGCAGTCATCCTGCAGGTACTGTGGGTGCCATTGTCCCCATACTCAAGCCCCACACTTCTCATTAGCACAGATGTAGATATGTAACAGTGCTCAAATTGTTCACAGCTTCTGGGTAGACTGACACTACTCCTGTTCAGAGTATGGGTTTAGGAGACAGCATGAACCAGTTGGGAATTGTTCTTAGCAGAAGACCTTAAGATGCTGCTGTTGAAAAATATAGAATTTATCCTACACTTTTGAAAAAGAAAAAACCCTGCTATTTGTGTGACTTTTATTATGCACTTCTGGACACAAATCTATTTCTTCTAACCTTTGACAGCAACAGGAAGTGCTTTGAAAGTGCTTTACAAGGCTCAATGCTGCTGTGATTCACCTACTTAGCTGCACTAGGATCTGAGGACTGAGTGTGTTCACACTAACTCATATATTATGGAGCTGTTTAGAACAGGGACTTGATCACATGCAAATAGAATAATAGAAGTAGTGTTTATGCAGCCTTCTATAGATCTTTGCTCTTTTTGTGTAGGGCTGGACTACTGGGAGTCAAACCCATGACTAATTTATCAAAAAGAGTTATAACCAACAAAAACTAATCCCTTGAGCTGTTATTTCTGACGTATTTGTTTTGAGTGGTTGAGAATGGTACTGTGGAAAGACAAGTGTGGATGTTCCTGTGCCTGACCATCCTTATGGATTCTGTGGTGTCTCGTAAGAGCAGAGCTCACTTTGCTTGCCAAGTGATACCGTGATGAGATCTGTCTCTTTACCTCATCTATTGTTTTGATGCAAATTTTGAAGCAGTTCTGGGATTTGTTTGAGATAGGTTTAAATGTTGATTGATGGTGGGGTAATAAGTCATAGACAGACATACCTAACATGATCACACATAACTTTTTTCTTAAGTGGACTAGGAGTATGTTATGAGAAGATCACGAGCAGGGCATTAAAATGATGGAGAATGACTCTGAAATATGCTCGGTTTTCCATGTATATATATTCACTTGTAACTGACCAAGCAAATATAAAAGCCCGGGCCCCTGTGGACCTCATGAATGTCTAAGCTATGGAGAGCCCTGGGGCTGTGGTCCCAGAACCCTCCACAATGCTGTTCCTGACACGTCAGGGCTTAGGTTTCACACTTGGAATCACTGCCATCTCTAAGCAGAGGGGTCACTTTGCTATACAATGGGCAGTGCCAAAACCCCAGCCATGACAGATGTGAAAGTGGTGTCAAATGCTGAACAGGTGGGCTCTGACACTCCTAGGGGTGTCTTCATAAGCTTGTGCAATGTCTTTCCAAAGCATTAACATGCTGTCTGGATGCATCCGTTGCTGGCACGCTGACTGACGAGTGGCTGAAAATAGATAAGCAGAGAGAACAGGCCAGATTTGTGAGGAAACCAAGATGTACATCAGGATTGTGTCTGGGCCCAGATATTTCAAAATTCATTGGAGAGAGCCTGGTGTTTCTCTGATGGATACATAACCAGGAAGGAATTTGAGACTGAGTTATTTCAAGGGATCACTCATGGGCACACTGTGGAGATCAGTGCAGTCAGTAGAAAGTCCCCATCTCCTTGCTGGGTCCCTTTGCAACTTGTGAGTCTTGAGGCTGTACCATTCTGAGAGCCTGAGCTTGAGGGACACTTTGTCCCATCTCCTCTGGGACAGGACATACTTAGATATACAGGCTCCTTCATGGACTTTGGCATCTTCTTTTCTTTTTCTGTGTATTTTGTTAGCGAAACTAAAAAGCTCCTACCCTACCCTGGCTTTACCATTCCAGTGATGCCAGACAGCAATTCCTTCCAGCCAGTCCATACCCTTTAAACAGACTAAATGAGCACAGGCAGATTGCAGTGCAGAGAGTTTTGCTTGCCCTGTCACACACTGACAAAACATGAAGCTGAATCTGTACTTGAATCTGTTCTCTTTGCTTGCTATAATCACAGTTTATTAGGACACACAGTTTGTGTAGAAGCACATCCATGTTCTGTCTTCTGGGTTCCCTGGACTGCAGAACTAGCAGCGAGAGAGAGAGACAGAAACAAAACCACCCTGTGAGATATAAAAGAGGGAGATCCTGGATAATATCTGAGTTCCTTTGAAGTGAAGGCTGAATAGATTAGGAAAAGTGTAATTGAATTAAAGCCACTCTTTTTTGGAGTAGATATACTTTTACCCTGGCTAAGCAATTTCCTGGTGGATTTTTTTATCACTTTCCAGCACCTGCTTGTTCCAGAGGGCGACACTCCAGAGATTACTGTGAGCCAGTGCCAAGAGCCAGCACTTCTCACTCCCCTCTCACCGCCTCCAGCCCCGCGCTGCTCCCGGCACACACCCCGATATAGAATGACAGCACATTGCCACCTTTCAGTTGACACTGCCTCTGCCTTCTGGGAAGGACAGGTCCTCTGGAGAGCCACAGCCACAGAGCTGTCCACCCTCACAACAAACATCTTCATCATGGCCTATAAAGCAGCACATTTGGCCTTTAAGTCGCGCTGGCACAAGACAGACGAAGAACTCTGTCGACACAGTATGTCCTTCGTCTTGCACAAGGCAATCCAAAATGACTTCTTTAAGTGTTACCTTTATCTACTGGAAAAGCTTCCCCTGGGTGAGTAGCTGGTGGGCAGGAGTGTCTGTGTGTGTGTGACTGTGCTCTGGCAAGGTGTATCATGTTAGACGGTGGAGTGCAGACACATTAATGACAGTAAGTCGCTGTGACTTTGAGCAGCACAGCTAGAGAGACTATGCTGCTAGCTAAACTGTTTGGTGCTCTCTCTCTCAGCTGCCACTAAGTCAGAACCCTGTTGTTTTATCTATATACTCCACAGATCGTTAGAGGAGGGCAAGAGTGAAAGAAAAGTTTGGTTTCTGGCTGAGGGTTCCTTATTTTGTCACCGCTTGAGTGCTTTGACCTGTTTGGAACTTGGAAGGACAAATGCAGAACTAGCAGAGCTGGCAGGCCTTCCTTTCTGCTGCCCGATACCTGTTTTGTTGTCATTCTGAGTGTCCTTAGCCCTGGGATTTGTATTGGTTTCGACAAGTGCTTGAAAGGTAATGATTTAAAATTTTGTCTAGAGCCTTTGTTACCCCAGTCTCTGCAGCAGGCTGTCCCCTACTGTTTTGGAGGAAAATGCTTCCAAAACATTTATTTATAGCCAAATTTCAGTGAAAACCTCTGGTATAGAATGTCAAGACTTCTTTTTTTCAGATGCAGAAAACTAATGGTCATTTCTTAGGAAAATTTGACCCTGAATAAGAAACAGAATTGCCTCAGGATAATATAGCGAAAAAATGGATTTGTGTTGAATCTGTATGATGTTAGCATGTCATGTGTTAGGCAGAATTTTTCAGCCTACACTCAATGTTAGAACTGTAGGAATTTTCAGATGGAAAGGACAAGTCTGTGCAACCTGTTAAACTATCCTTCACAGTGAATTCTTGAGGGCTCCTTCCTAATTGAATGGTCATTTAGGAGAGAGGATTATATTACCTGATTGTGTGAACTATGCAGATCCCAGTGAGAACTCTGCTTAAGGGGATAGAATTCATGAGTCCTGTAAAGAGAAAAAGCATTTCCCTGTTATCTTAGTATTTTCATGTGGCTTTTAAAATGCAGCAATATCTGCAGCTATTTAAAATGAAACATGGAAAATAAATACTCCTATCCCTAGTGGTAGGTAGATGTGAATGATGGAAAGAAAGATGGAAAGGAAGGGAAGGCAGTTATAGGTTGATGGAATCTCATGAAGTCTATAAAAATGTTATTCTTTCATTTCTTTTGAAAATAAACACAACATATTAGAAACTGAGCAGGATTTCCTACAGTGTTAACTGTTAGTGTAAGTACCAGTCGATCATTTTAAGGTTAGAAGATACCATCATGACTGTCTAACTTAGAATTTAACGTAGAAGCTACTGCATCGTTCTTGCAAGTTGTCTGGGTCACAGTATGTATTTATGAAAACAAAAATACCTTGGTTTCAGGGCTTCAAATGGCTGAGAATCCATCAGTCATCATTAGGCTTTTTCCAGGCCTAATTGCTTCACTCTTGTAAAACCATATTTTATTTCTTGTCTGCATTTTACTTGAATTTCCATTCCCAGCCAACAAGCTTCGTAAAATGTTCCTGTCAGACTAAAGATCCCTTCTGCCAGGCTTTTCATGACCTGACTCATTAAAACTTCACTGAAGAGCTCACAAGCCTTTTGCCAGCTTATCCAAATTACTTTGATTCCATGGAAAATGTTGTGTGAGCTCAGCCTTCATGTGCACATGCAGTATGCCTGTTACTCCATGGTTATTGTCATGGAGTAAATGTGGGCATGAGGACAGGCACCGTGGGGTACATCATGTGCTGTGAATACACATCCAGGAAGCTTTGGATCTGGATAGGTAGACAGTCAGATGGGTTAAAAATGGTTGGGTGATTGAAAGTCATGTCAGATCTTGAGGTCAGTGGAGTACCCTGGGGGTCTGTCCTGCTTAACATCCTTGCCAATAACCTGGAGGAGGCAAAGGACTCAAATGCTCATCACATTTATGGCCAACTGGCAGGACTTGCCCACAAGATCTAGGTCATGATTGCCATCCAGAGGCACCTAAATAGGCTGGAGGAAAGAGACAGTGGGAACCTAGTGCCATTCAAATTCACTGAAATTCAAAGCCAAATGCCAAGTTGTGTACCTGGAAAGGAAGAACCTTTGGCAACATCACCAGGGGACAGGGGCAGGGGCAGGGGACAGTTCTGCTGGTAGAGTTTTGGTTGGCAGCAGCTGAACGTGAACCACCAGTGTGTCCTGGCAGCCAACAGTATCCCGGGGTGTATTAACAAAAGCGTGGCTGGTTGATTGAGGGAAGTGATTACCCCCATTTCTGCAGCAGTCATTAGACCATATGTGTGGAGTCTTGAACTCCCCATGCAGGAAATTACATGGAGTGAGTTGGAAGAGCTCCAAAGTGGTGAGGGAACTGGAGCACATGCCCTGTGAAGATAGACTAAGGCACTGGGGCACGTGCAGCTAGAAGAGAGATCAAATACCATTCTGCTAGTACCTACAAGAAGGTAATGAAGAAGATGGACCTGAGCTCTGCACAGTGATGGGAGGCAGGAGGACAACAGACAGTGGCCATAAATTGAAACAAAAGTAGTCTAGGCTGGCTATATGGAAAAACTCTTTTCCCATGAGGACAGTCAGGCATTGGAACAGGTTGCTCAAGGAAGTTGTACAATTCTCCCTCACTGGAGGTTTTCTAAACCTAGCTGAATAAAGCCCTGGTGAACCTCATCTGATGTCATCTTTGGACTAGAGACCTCCTTGGGTGCCTTTCAACCTGGATTATTCTGTGATCCAGTGCTCTCTATGATGGAGAGGACAGAATATGGCAGATTCTAACATCTCTGCAGAATTACATTTTTCAGTTCAGTTCAAGTGGAACTAAGCAGAAATGAATTGAACTTCTCAAACTTCAAGACTTAATCCGGATATCTCTGTGTAAACAGTATTAAACAACTAAAGCAACACTAGGACTATGACCCAGCAGGGTAGTTAAGCATGTGCTTAACCCTAAACATGACTAAAACCACTAAAATCAAGCCTCACATTGAATCTTGCAGTGCTGCCCAGGGGCAGCAAGGTAGAAAGTTTGCTTTAAGCTGTGCTAACTCCATGCTCCCCCCACTCCATTGCTAGGTTCAGTGGTGGAGCACTTTTAGGCATGTTTACTTAGGAGCTGAGCATATCTGGTATCACAGCCTGTTAAGAGAAACATGTCACTTTTACAGACCAGGGTAACATTTATAAATAAAAGACGTGAGTAACTTTAGGCCCTGATCCAACAATGTACTTAAATGTGTGTGAGTGCCCTTAAGCCCAGTGGACTTTTAATAGAGCTACTCAGATGCTGAAAATTATGCACGTGTTTACATGGGCTGTGGGACTCGGTGCCAGAGGGGTGAGACCTGCAGTGGAAAACTTAGATGATCCATCCATAGAGACAAATATTCCTGTGTGTGAAGCACATGTCTGGAAGTGAAATCTGCTCTCGGGGTTGGGATGATGTTCATCCTCTATAAAACAGAATTTGCATGGTTCTCAGACCACAGGAGAGAGGTGGATTCTACCCTGCACCCAGATAACTATTTCTCAACTGATGCACAAAGCAGATGTTGCATTTAAAAGGGATCACTCAGCCAAACTGGAATTAGTTCAGTGTCTTGCAGAAAGCACTTGGAGCCACAAAACAATGTTCGCAAATAAAAACTTCAAAAAAATTACTTGCAACATTTACTTCTGCCAGAGAAGTTTAGCTGACTAAACCCTGCAACCAAGAGCTGTAAGACAGTGTACTGCAGGGTGGGACTGCACCCAGTCTTGAGTGGTCCATTTCTCTAGACATCAGGTGCACTGGAAAGCAAAATTTTGAACTGATCCATAAGAAAATATTAGAGATTATGTTTTGGACTTTGCAGGGCAAAAAGGCTTAGGTGGATATTGTGGGTGTAGTCCACAGATTGGCATTCAGCTGTAGATCAACACTCTGCATCCAGGCTGTGCTTGCAGTGACTGAAAATTATTAATGTCTCATGACCTTTAGGGAGCCAGTTCCTGCCCTCTGCCTGCTTTTGCAGCAGGTGTGCTTTAACCATCTCCACTTGGGGGACTTGCCAGCAGATTCAGCTGAGGGACAAGTGTGCCATGATCTTACTTTACTGGAAACATGTTTCTAACCTTAAATCTTAAAAGTTATATGCCTTAACACCGAAAACCTTGTATGTTAGACAGCTGTTTGCCCTATAATGTCTGAGACTTGCAGCCTCCATTGTCCTATCCTGCCTGTGCCCTACTTTACAAAGTTCATTGAAATCAGGCTGTGTATCCATAACAGGCCTCATGTATTTCATTTCCTGATGCACAAGGTAGTCCCACATGGGTCATGGATAGGGAGATGCCTCTGGCCAGACAGGTCCTGTGATGAGGGGGAAGCCTGCTGGAACAGGGCTGCAACATTGACTGCCACCAAGGACATGTGTGCCTCCTGGCACTTCTCTTTGGGGCAGATTCCTGCAAACTGGCAAACCTCCCCCTCCCTGTGGTTCTGCTGCTGGAGCCTGCATGCCAGGCACAGCTGTGAGGCAGAGCAGAGGTAAGGTTGATCAGCTGTGTCTGGAAAATTGGGCAGTGCTGCACATTCACGAGAGGGAGGAGTAACACTGAGAGAGCAAGAGGTGGAAAGCACCTCTGTAGATCTCACATTGCCTGTGTGAGACTGTGGGTGCACAGGAGAAGACTTTGGGTACAGTGCCACTCTTTACATTAGCCTGTGCCATCAGGTGGGAGATGTGCATAACTTTGCACAGTTTGGTGCACAGAGAAGCTCCTCTGGATGCTAACCCAGAGCTGGTTTTGGATGCCAGCACGTAAGGCAGGACTCTGGGGCCCCAGCTGGCCCAGGAGGAGCCACAGTCAGCTGGTATGTGCATGCAAGTCCCAGCAGGCATTCCTCAAGCGTGATACTGGTTCTGAGTGAGAAATCTGAGAGCACACACCACAGCTCTGATATCCTGAGCAGCATATCGTCCCCATGTGTTGCCTCGGGTCAGGCTCATGGTTTGAGTGGAAGGACTCAGAATATTTGTTGTTCGTGCTGCCAGCTGCCTGCAACACCCTGTCCTGGTGTGCAGACAGCCTGTAAATGTCTTTCCCTTCAATCTAGCAAAACAGGATAAACCACTGTCCCTTGACAGGTCCATTAAACAAGCCCTGGAATCATCACTGGACTCTTATATGGAAGATCTTGCAAAGCCAACATGCAGGGATTCAGTTCTGTTCAGCACACAGGCTGTCCTCTGAAGTGGATCAAAAGAAGACACAGAGAAGACAAGATGGTGCCACTCCTGGGGGAAGATGGAGATCACTTACTGGAAGAATCACAGCCACCGATGGATGGAGTCTTTTTCCCAGGCTCTGGGAACCACCCAGAGCAAGTTGTGCTGGGGATTGGCTGCTGCCTCCTTCGTATTAATTTCTTCAGCTAAATGGTTTCTTCTGAGTATGTGAATATAATCAGCAGAGTGTGTAAAACTCCCAGGTTTGACCCTTGCTGGGCTCAGTGCTTCTTGTGGTATAAATTTCTCAGGCATAACATAAATGTGTAATGGATTAAAGCTTTAATAGTATCCGTTCGGCAGTTGACTTAAGCAGGTGATGACAAGAGGGGCTGGTAATGCTGCTTTTGTTGGATGAAGGATATGCTGGGCATGCTGCTTATGTGTAACCCAATAGCACTATTCTGTTCTGAGTGGTCCTTGGTGGTAATTATTCCCCATCCTACTTCCTTTGTGCCCCCCTCATTTGCCTCCAAAATGTCATTCTCCTGCTGAGGATGGGCAGGCACACACTTATCATTCCCTGCTGAGCTTGCTTGCCCTCAATAAATACATTCCAGGCTTATATTCAGGGCCTCTAGCCTAATGCTCATCCTCTGTGTGGAGGGCATAATTCCTGTTCCCCAGCCAAAGTGAGCAAGGCATGGCCTGCTCAGACCCTTCCCAGCAGCGACTGGCAGTGCTCCCGTGGAAGTTTAAAGATGCAGTGACAAAGCACTGCTCCCTGGTCCTTCTGTGTGTGCAGCTGGCAGGGAGCTCTCTCTTTCTGTTGTCATTAACCCAAAAGGTGATTGTTGCTGGATCATTTCCAGCTCCCTGAGCACGCTGGGAACCTGCAGCGGAGCTGGTCTTGCACTGCAAGGTGGTGCTCACACAGAGTTGTGCCCAATGTGACTATCCCTCCTTATTGCTTAGCATTCAATGTCAGGCTTGTAGCTGTGTTTTTGTTGGAAGGTCTGTCATACACACAGGAAAATGCCTGGACACTTGTATGCTCGCATGAGACAGTCAGAGGTGCTGATTTCCAAGTGAAATTTAAAGCCTGCCTTAATCCAAACTTCTGAGCTGCAAAACACAACTGCTTTTGATATGCTGATGCACATTGAATATGGAAAAACTCAGGATGTAGAGGATAGATCTCAGTTTTGTAAAGAACAGGGGAAAATAGCCCTTTACCCACCAAAGCTCACAGGTTTTAATGAAACAGCTTCAAACTACTGATTGCTGTCTATTACCGGCAAAGTAGCCGAGCAATGAAAGGAGACATCCAAGCCTCTGGCACACAGGAACTTTCCAGTATATCCTCCACTGATTATCTTGCTCCTTAATCTGTGACAGATGAAAATGTAGGACTCTCTCTTCTAAATTGTCTCCCCACCTGTATACTTATTTAGGCCTTGGACTACCATCTGCTCTTTGCTTCAGCTTACTTGCAGCACCACAGGCCATACAGTATCACTAAAAATAAACCAGAGTGAGTGCCTCATTCATCCACTCTCTTCTTGGTGCACTCTCCATGCAGCTGTCAATGGCTGGAATGCATATCTGGAAATCTGCACAACAGTTAGCTTTGTGATAGCAGAAATGATGACCCTGCATAGCAGTAAGTGCTTCCCACAGCTTTTCCAGAAGCAAATCAGGTCCTTTGCTCTCTTTGGCAATGTTGTGTTCCCTTCAAACCTGAAATGATTTTTCACAGAATGAAAACAGTGTGTGCTAACAAAAACAACATCTGAGCCTGAGAGGCACTGAATTTGCCCAAGGGGGGCTGTGTCCTATTGAAGTCTTGTGGGATTAAATCAAACACCTTTCCTTCCATCTTTTCTTTAGAAACAGGTTTGGTGATTTGAAGGCTCAACTTAAGTTTATAAATCTTTGTCATTGTGCCTCTGGAACAATTAACTAAACCAGAGATATCTGTCACTAACAATAAACCAGTGATTTATCTGCTTGCAGTGAAACTTTACGCTTTGACAAGTCAAGTTATCAATGGGGAGATGCAGTTCTACGCCAGGGCCAAACTCTTCTACCAGGAGGTGCCAGCCACGGAAGAGGGCATGATGGGAGACTACATCGAGCTCTCCAACACGGATGTTGAATCCTCCAGGGAATTTCTCAGGAAGTTTGTTGGGGTGAGTCATTTAATCTCATCTTCTGCAAGAGGCGCTGGTGATGTGCCATAAATGACATGCACCCTGCCCAGTGTCAGATCTGTGTTAAATGGCACTTTATGTCATATTTGGTGTGCAGTCACCAGTCATCACTGTTGTTGGGTCTAGTAAGGGATTCTGCCAGGTCATGCATCATCATGAATGCACATTTTGCCAGGCCTTTATGTCATCATTGACCTGTTTTGCATCCTTTTCCTACACTCCAAAGCTGCCATGAGAATTGTGCAAGGAGTTTGAGCAAGCTGTGTTTGAGTGGGGGATTGATTCTCAGGGACCTATCCTGACAAAATCCTTTCTGGCTCCAGTGGCAGATTTGTCTATGCAAACCCCTGCAGTCCATTTGGGAAAGTAGCTGAGACTAAATGCCAAGTTTCTGCTTTGCCTGTTATAACTCAGATATTTCTGAGACTGCTGCAACAACACCCTCCCCCTCCATTAGAAGTATATAAAATTAGCTATCCATTAGGTGAAATATTTTTTTCTTGAACATTCCAGTGTCACTGAGAACCTTTTCAGCCAGATTACTATAGGTCTGTAAACATCTTCAAAGGTCTGCTTTGACTTGAACTGCAAAGAGATGCCAAGTGGGATTTGAAGAGCAGTATCACTTTGGTACTTAGGTTTCTGAAAATCCTGTTGATTCCTAAGTGTGTCATCTGCAAACCTTTAGAAGTGTGGCCTGATGGTTTTCTGGCTGCCCTTCCCTCTTCCTAGAGGAAAAAATTACTAAATTAGCTCAATAACAGTATTAGATGCTAAGGAATCCACAAAACTACAGGAAAACATATTTCTTAAGATCTGCTGACAAATGACTTGTTCTATATAATGCTACCATAGATCTTTAATTTTCTGCTCAAATATACAAATTTGAGATAGCCAGATGACCTTTTTTTAGCCTTAACAATCCACTATGGAAAAAAAGGCTCAATGGGTAAATTAGATGTTGTGTATGAAAAAAAAGGGCACAGTTTAAATGGATCGGGATGGAAAATGAGTGTGGCTTAACAACAGATAGAAATCCTGCAGAGCAGTGAAAGGCAAGTGCTGACAGTTTGATATACCTGATAGAGGGAGGCTTTGGGAGCTGTGAGCCAGCAAAACACAAGTGAACAGCAGCATTTTTCCAAATTAACAGTCCTTTGTATCAATTAACTAACAAGCCTTGAGCCAGCTCGAGGCACATTCCTTAAACTGTACTTTAGTCTTGTTTTAAAGACATTTGTGGAATTCACGTGGTGCATCAGCAAGTAAGTACTCAGGGAAAGATTTCAGACTTCCTAGACACCATCTAGATTCAGTCTCCCAAGTGGCAGGTTCGTATCACACTGTTAGGCTCCCTCGACTCCAAGACCCGAAAAGGAAAGAAGTACAGTCTGTAGCAGAGTTTCACATGCCAGAGAGAAATCATACCCAATGCATCAGGTGTGATGACAGATACAAAATACTCCAGAGCAGAATTCCTACTCCTATAATTAGCCAGGGATAGAAAGGATACTCTGAATGGCCAAGATCAAACAAGAAAAGGAAAAAAAAAGAAGAGAAAGGAATCTGCATGTTTTGCTAATTCCAATTTAGTTTATTAGAGCCTGTCCTCTGTTGAGATGCAGGCAATTAATTGTGGTACCTACAGCTTATTTTCCTTTCTCACTACTGAAATTTGAATCCTACTCAACCAGATACAGATTTCTGTTGCAGTGACTCTATCATAAAGCTCATTTGAGTTGTCTTAAAATTTTTTTATCCAATAAGTTGATCAAGATAGAAAAAACCAATCTGCCCCACCCTAATATAAACTATACTTTCCTTTTTTAAGAGCAGTTTAGCAAAGTCAGAAAATAGGAAAATTAGTTTCAGATCAACTGAACAATTTTTTATTGTTTTACCCTCTGAAAAGCTTCTCCCGTTCTTTTCAAGAGTACAAGTCAGTTCCAAAATAAAATGCACTCTTTAGAAATGAAAAGTTGACAAGTTTGGTTTTTTTGTTTTCCTTGAAAGTTGTAAAAAAGAAGTATTTTGACATTTTCAGCATTCTTTCCCAGGCTATAACTATTCTCTAGATTTGAAACAGCAGTTTCACAGAGAGTTTTATTCTTCTAAAACTTTATATTCTGGCAAAACTAATGCTTCTTAAAAAACAGTTGCCCAGATCCACTCAAATTACCCCTCTTGAATTAGTCTGGCTGGTGTGGAAATGCCACACAGTGACATTTGCCTTACATGACTGATGTTGCATACCTTCAGGTATGGCATTTCTTAGCATGATTCTTAGCACCACTGTAAACTGAGCTACAGATTTCTTTACCATTGGAGAATTTATCTTGCCTGGGCACATGGAAGGAATTACAGAAAGGACTTCACTTATATTTTTCCCTGTCTCCTTCCCAGGCGAGTCAAACTGAGTTGAAAGTGCCACTGTGCTCAAGTTAAGAGGTTTTATGTGTGTGTGGGCAGAACTCAAACCAAGAGCAACATGACTTGAGCCAACAGTGCAGTACAGACAAGCCATAGGCTGTCTCAGGTACAGCCATACGTGAAGGGTTATCAGCAGAGCTACAGCACTGCATGTTTATGGCACTGTGTTTGTGCCAGGTACAGCTTTGATGTCCACACAGACACTGTGTTTTCAAGTGCCTAATGCAGGGGCAGTGTTGAAAAAAGGAAATAAGGAAAACAAAGAAACCATTAATTCAGGAGCAGTTCTGAGCTATAGGTGTGTAAAGTAGTACAGACTGAGATTATATTAACTTTATAGCTTCCTTTCTGCCCTAAACCTTTTCTTCCTTTCTTGCCCCCAGTTCACCTGCCTTGATGGTTACATGCTGAATCAAAAGTTTCTTGAAAGTGATTTTCCTCCTGTTTGATCAGGGTAATGGAAGAGATGTTGTTGAAAACATGCTTCTTTTTATTTAGAAGGAAAACCACTGTGATTTTTATCTCAATGCCTTCTTGCCCTTCCAAGACCTGAAGTAGCATCAGGAACATATTCCACAGCTCTTTTATCTCAAATTAAATTTGGGAGTTCCTATTTAGCTTTACAGAAGATTTTTTTGGTGTATATGTGTCCTAGAGGACAGTGATCCTGAGTAATGAGAAGCAGGTAGGCAGAGGAGCAGTCAGTCTTACACATTGAAGCCTGTTCTGGCTTACAGTTTTCACTTATACTATGTTCTTAAACAAGGAGTCTGATTTTCAACTCAATTAGACTTTTGGGAAAATGTTTGCCTTCCAAAGAAAATGTTAATACTCTGTCAAAGCCCTGAGCACTTCCAAACTGAAAATATATTAGCTGAACATGGAATTATGTCAACATTTTCATTACAAGTGGAGCCATGGTGCTTCAGAGGGCTCCCAACTGACTACCTGGTGTTCTCACTCCTTTTCGGCTAAGTGTGGGATGGAGCAATCTCCCAGGATTGTTCCCTTTGCTTCTTCTTGATGGCAAACAGAGATGTGTGATCAGAGGGCCTTGCCATGACATATCGTGGGAGATGAATTCCCTGTTTTGTGTGAGGTACTGTGACTCTAGAGTCTCTGACACACAAAAGTCAAAGGAGTTACATGGCTTTTTGTTGAGTTCTGTTGGTTGTTTTGGTAAATCATCCTGGTTTTCTCACCAGCTTTCTCAAACATTTTTACTTTATCACATCACTGCAGACCTGCCAGCAAACAATATGGCAATCCACCTTGTAAAGATCCAAGGCACAGTTCCTTCTCCTTTCATGAACTCCTTGTTACCACTTAGTCTGGTCCTCAGTAAAAGCCACATGCTCCTAAGAGCAGCCTGTGGATGAGGAATGGCTCCCATTTTCTGGCTAACTACAAACAGGTAGTCTCCAGAGTCCAATAGGGTTGAAGGCTCGTGGACTCTTGCACACATCAGGAGATTAATGTTCCTAGGTATACAAATTGGGACCAGCAGCCCTGGAGACTGGTGACAGCCCTTGAGGTCCATGTGCTCTTCTACAGTTACTCCGTGTAATCAGATGCTCAGCTGGGCTATTCATAGTCATGTCATTGACAGTACTGTCCTTTGACCTTAATAATCTACTGAATTACCCATGAAGCAAGGCCAAAAAAGTGTGAGTTACATGATCTATGCTTGGTCCTTACAGAATGGGTCTGTAAGGAAGAGCAAGGAAGAGCAAGACTCTTCCTGGGTTTATTTCCTTTCTGAGCAGTGAAGCTGCAGCAGGGACTTTGGCCCATAGCTTTCACTTCAACACTCAGTTCCAAGGGACAGGCAAAAGGTGTTTACGTTTGCTTTTAATGTATTTGTTTCACAGATAACTTTGGCCAGGGGATCTCCAATCCCACAGTCAGTGCATGTGCAGACTCAGAATTTCTGTTTTACAGAACAGCAGCAGGCTCTTAAGAGCCTTTTTATAGCTAGAATGGAAGCTTTAGAGGTGAAATACAGCTTTCACTATAAAGCTCCTTTTACAGCACCTCATTATTTTCTCATAGCCATAGCCTTTGTGCCACGTTTTTTCATGTCTGATCTCTGTCCAAAGATGACATTTATGAAGAAAAAAAGAACAGTAAAGCAAAATCCACTCAATCATCTTCCTTGTCTCTATGCCTAAAAAAGAAATTCTGTATATGCTCCAGCCCAAAGTTTTTGAGTTGTCATAAGTTACCTACCACTCCAAGATCTTTGTACAAACACAGCTTCCTTTGAGAACTGCTCTCTGATCCCAGGATGCTGTGAATCTGCAGAGATGTCCGTGGGCACCTTGGGAGTTCTGTGCTGCAGAAGTTGCTGCTTGTGTGCAGTATTTGGTATATGAGGCTTGTGTAGCCACATAGTTGGCTGTGAGGTATGAATATCTAACAGATGAAGTTGCAAGAACTGTACCAGTGGACCTCCTAGGACCTAGCTAGGAGCTTGTGAAGGATCTCTTCTTATTCCAAGCAAAAACTCACTGTACAGCAGTAAATGCCATAAGGAAGTCCCTGCAGCAGCAGCCTGGGAATGTGGCAGCCCAGCTCAGCTCACACAGAGGCACCACAGCTGGATTGATTCCTATCAACCTTGCAACAGCCCTGCAGAAATAAGGACACTAGGCTTGGTGGACTAAAGGCCATAGTGGGTGACACAATTGCTATGATCTTTCAGGTGGTACTTCTCAGATTTCAAATTATTTTCTTGTGTCCCACAGGGTGTGGGGAAAGCTGGCACCAACCGCGCCCTGGACTGCGGCTCTGGGATAGGTCGGATCAGCAAGCACGTCCTGTTACCAGTTTTCAAGAGTGTGGAACTGGTGGATATGATGGAGAATTTCCTGGCTGAGGTCCCAAACTACCTTCAGGGCAAGGAGGACAGAGTAGAGATGTATTATTGCAAAAGCCTCCAGGAATTCACTCCAGCCCCACAAAGATACGACGTCATCTGGATTCAGTGGGTTTCAGGTTAGTTCAGCACGATTCATGCGGCCTGATGTCTCACAGCTGGTGTTAAAAGAATGGTGCAGCTGTGAAGGGACCACTTCCTAGCCTCACAAGAGGCTTCTGAGAGCTGTCCCAAGCCACATGTACAGTGGGTACAAATCGAGTTGTTTTTTTCAGGTCATGTACAGGAGGAAGGCACCTGTTCCTTGAGAGCAGCCTGCATGCTAAGGTGCAGCTGAGGAGGAGGCATTATACATGGGGGTTTTTAAGCAGGAATCCTCTTTCTTAGTTGCCAGTGCTGCAGACAGATACATGGTGCTCACTCCCATGAGCAATGATTTCTGAATCTGATGATTATTCAGCCTTGGAGGTATTTCAGGAAACAATCTGAAAAAAAGCCACAGTGAAATCACCAAGAGCTGTAAATCAGATCATGTGTTATACATGCCCTGATGCTTATCAGACAGGTTCACTTAGCTATATCTCAAAATACCCCCTCCTATAAGAAATACCTGCTTCTCCTCCTGCAGCCACCCCAATAATGCCCTGCACCATGCAGAGCATCAGATAGTGTGGGCTATGTTCCTGACAAAAAAAAATCAGTTCTTAATTTTTTCCAGAAAACCTGCTGCACTGGAAAGGTTTTCTCCTAAGCTTTGAACCTGAGTGTCCATTGGTTCAGTCTCAGCTGGCAGAAGGCATTATTCGAAAGCCCAAGAGGAGGTCTGAACAACTCCTTTTATCCAAAACACCGGATACAGTTTCCTGCTAGCAAAAAGAAAGAGAGATTAGCACAGGAGAAGGTTTTATTCAGGAACGCTTTATTCTTTGCACATAGCCTTAACAAGTAATGAAGCAGCTTCTTAGAATAGGTCTTTACAGCTGTACAAGCAAATTGCTTCAGACCAGTATCATTTTCCTTTGCATTTTTGCTTTTCTTGACTAACAAGTTGTTACAGTAAGTGTAGCTCCTGCCTCATCCTTTGACCAAGTCCAAGTTCACAGGAGGATGAATGAGCTCAGACTTGTCTAAGGCTGTGTGATCAGCCACGTGGCTGCTAACAAAGGGAGTGTGTGCCTATTGCTTAGCATAGCCACAGATCTGAAACTTCTTTCTCCATCAATGTCAATGAAATAGTGATTTCAAGCATTACTCAAACTTCTACCCCTGTCTTGAATTTGGCTGAAATATGCCAACAAGCTCAACACTGTTTGGTGGAGCAAGGGTGGGACTATCTGCTGGAGAGCATCACCATGGATCTCATTTTCTTAGGAAAGTAGGCTAAAACCCAAGTTAAGAGAACAGTAAGTTCCAAATTAGGTGTTCAAAAGCTTCAATGAATCTTGCCAATGAAATCTTGATTTGCCTTGTGTATGCAGAAGTATGTGAGCCCAGGCAGTTATTTGGTCAAAAAATAAAAATGCAAGTTTACATTTCATATAGAAATTAGCGTTTTCCTTCGACTTGAAAGGTATTCAGCTTTAGGTTTTGGGGCTTTTTCCTTTTTCTTGGGAGGAGTGGTTAAAGAAACTTGCCATGCTATGTCAAAATGTAGTTTTAAAACAACAACTTCCATTTATAAAAGCTTAAGTCTTCCATGAAGAAAACTAAATGTTTTGACTGAAAAATAAGTGATTCTTTTTTTTCCAAGATTTTCATTCAGTTTCTCATCACCTGTCCTTGTTAATTCCTGGGAGATATTTCACATGTGAGAGTTCTCATTTTGCTCTTCTTTGAGCCTTACACCACTGTTCTCAACATAATAGAAGTCCTGATCTTTGCAAAGGAAGAATAAAAACCAGAATGTCAATTTTGAAAACAGTGCTGGTTTTAAATATATACATACATGCAAAAATCCCAACACTATGGGGTAATATATAGAGTCTAATTGGCAGTGCGGAAGGTCTTGCATTCCTCCCCAGATCTTTGATCCAGAGCTCCTTCGATGGGTACATAGTGTGATGCACAGTTACAGAGATTTCTAGCACTGAAAGACAGAAGGGACTGTTGGATTAGCCAGTTTGACCTGCTCTATATCACAGCTGTTATATTCATCCCTTTACCCTTGTACTGAGCCAGCAGTTTGTGTTCAATTAAAACGTATCCTGACTTGAGGACTTCAAGAGGTGGTAAACACCACTTCTGCTGGTAGTTTGCAAGGGCTAATTGCTTACACTTTTACACAGTTGTCACTTATTCCCAATATGAATTTGTTTGGCTCCAGCTTCCTGCCACTGATTCTTATTATGTCTTTAACCACCAGATTAAAGAACCCTTCAGCACCCAGTATTTTCTCCTCTTTCCTCACTGGCTTCTGTCCACATCTGTTGCTACTACTAATATGGATCCTAAATATTGATTTGAGTTTGTATCTGTCAATCTCGTTGATTTGCCCAAGCTTTCATAATCAAATCTGGCAGGACTAGAACCTCTGCAATGGAGACTCAGACCCAGGCACTGTTCTGATGTGTTCAGGGAGAGTCTGAATGGTTAATAGTGATCTATTTTCCATCTTTTCATCTGTAGGATATCTGACAGATAAAGATCTCCTGGAGTTTCTCATCCGGTGTCAGAATGGCTTGAAGGATAATGGTGTTATCATTCTCAAGGACAATGTAGCCAGGGAGGGCTGTACCCTGGATTGTTTGGATAGTAGTGTGATCCGAGACCTGAACATCCTCCACAGCCTCATTGAAATGAGTGGACTCACCATCCTACGCGAGGAGAGGCAGGAGGGATTCCCTGAGCAGTGTGTCCCTGTCTGGATGTTGGCCATGCAGAAAGGCCCTGGCCACTCCTGATTGCCTAGTGAGACTCCAGAGACTGGACTATGGATGAACCACTGGAATGGGAAGGAGAAAAGCATCTAATGGAATCCTCCTAACCATGCGACTGCTACTACCACAGCTCCAGGGCAGCAACTCCCAAAGGATCAGGAGACAATTACAATGGAGCAGGCTTCTCCAGGGAACAGTCTGCTTCTAAATCCTGCCTGATTCATCATCCTTTCCATTTCTAAAAGGCTTTCTAACAGCTCCTGGTCAGATCTCTCTTTGATTAAGGAGTCAACACTGGACAAAACCCTACTAACAGAAAATAATTAGGTCTGAAGTTTCTGTAGTGGCTAATACATTTTGGAGTGTTCTGTATGAGGTGTTAACAAATGAGCCTGGTTTTTACTGTGGCACTTAAATCTTCTTAGAGTTTAAGAAGGATCTGTCAGACCACTGGAGCAGGAGATTCAAATAACTTCTGGAAAACTTAACCCAAATTTGGACTGTCCTTGCTATCTGTACTTTAAAATAGTTAAACTAACAACGTAAGGAAACTTTTATCTCTTTGTTGGCATCAGCTATGCAATTTATTTATTTCTTTGCATTTCTGTCAAGCTGGACAATAAAACAACCTGGTTCATTTTCCATTTTCAGGAACCACTTCATCTTCCTGATGTTTCTGCCATAGAACAATAGTGGTGCATAAGGGATTTCACACTCCAGGGGAAATCTTAGCTGATAAACATCTGCATGTTTGCATTGAAATTTTGGGAAAAGCTTCCCCCACAAATTTCATTCTGGAAAATATTTTTTTTCAAAATGTTCACAGTGGAAACCACTTGAAAGCTTCTCCTTATTATTCATACCACTGTACATCTCCTTCTTTCCCACATTCAGAACAAGCCTGGCACCATATGCAGAGCTAATGGGATTTCATGGGATGCTAATAGTAAGGATGTAGTAAGAACTAATACAGTATTGTATTAATTAACAACTGTGCTAAACTGCAGAGGGTGTTAGTGTAACCCTAAAGCTTTTGTGATTTATATTCAAACAGCAGCTGTCTAAGCCTGGATTTGAAAATACAAACACACCCCCCATCTCCTTAAGGCTCACAGAAATGATGCATTAAGCTTCTTGTCCACAAAAAAAAAGCTGTGGGAGGACAGAATTTCATTTTGCATTCAAATTCAGAATCTGCTTCGTTCTCAATGAAGACATGAAGGGAGAATTTTGAAATTCTTTATGAAGGAAAACCACACAACCAGAGTTTTCCAAAGTGATTAAAAGTTTTGCTCAGGCAAAATCAGGTGTTTCTCTTGAATCGAACTTTTAAAATAATTTGCACTTAAAATGTCATTAAGGCTTGTTCAAAATTTGAAAAATTAACCATAGAATCATAGAATTTAAGGCATGGAATGGACCTTACAGATCATCTAGTCCCAACCCCCTGCCCTGGGCAGAGACACCTCCTCACTAGATCGGGTTGCTCAAGGCCCATCCAGCCTGGCCTTGAACACTGCACTGCCAGGGGCAGGGCAGCCACCACGTCCCTGGGCAACCTGTGCCAGTGTCTCACCACCCTTACAGTAAAGAACTTTTTTTTCTCACATCCAAACTTTCCCTCCTTCAGTTTGAACCCTTTTCCTCATGGCATTTCCCAACCCAGAGTCCCATGTGACTGTGGGTGCAGTTGGCTGTGTCAAACGTTGTCAGCTGTGTTAGGTTATAGAAGCCTCAAGATAACAAGATCAGGAACCTCTCAGCTATGTTTTAGTGCACATTTCCATCCTTCGATAACAAATCTCCAATTTTGATTTTAACTGCATAACTCATCTTCTCTAGCAATATAATTGCACATGTTGAGAATTTCCAGTTTACGGCAGAGTCTTTCTGCCATCAGATCTTACCCAGTAACTTGTTCTGTTCATGTGCCATCACTAATGGGAGCATTAAGGAAAACAACCCTGGTGACTTGGTGAACACTCTGGCTTGTCATACAGCCAAGAAACCTATGGTTCTCATAAAACAGAAGCTTCTGGAATGTTTTGTCTAATTCTTCCAGTCTAATCAGCTGGTAATGGATGCAAATTTACTATGTGAAATACAAAAAAACCTCAGTGAACACTTAGATTCTGGAATTGTCCCCAGAACTAGGGGCTTCAAATTCCCTTTAAGCCACTTACATTGCTTTCAATCTGCTGAGGCTGCTGAAAACTGATGTGGTCTTCGTGTGTGTATGAGTATGTGCAGATCTCTGAAGGAAACACAGTCATAGAATCATAGAATATCCTGAGTTGGAAGAGGCCCACAAGGATCATTGAAGTCCAACTCCTTACCCTGTGCTGGACAACCCCAAGAATCACACTGTGTGCCTGAGAGCGTTGTTCAGATGCTCCCTGTACTCTGTCAGGCTTGGCCATTTGTTTTTTTCAGGAAAGAGGCATCCTATAGTTAGTAACACTGGTTATCAATAAGAGGAGAATATTTCAAAGGTCTTTACAAATTAATTTGTCCTTCACCATTTTTCCTTCCAGCCAGAGACATCTGCCATGGTGCAGAATACTTGGGGCCTACTGGAGATCCTAGTACAGTGGTGTCTGTGCCAGGCACGTCTGAGTGGTGTTGGCCACTGCAATGGTGAGAGAATGGCACTGTACAAATAGGGAAGTAAAGAATTCTGTGCAAATGTAAACAGCTGCCACATCTCAGAGGGCAGAATATATCAGCTGGCCAGGCACACACCAGTGTGGGTGCAGTTCAGTAATGAGAGTTGTGGTTTCAAGATGGATATGGAATGCAAAGTGATTTAGGATGAAAAATAGAATATAAATGACTGGTGTGGTTACTAGTGAAAGACATTTTTCAGGGCAAAAATGTTCTTCCTGTGTTTTGTATATCTTTCCTATTTGAATTTCCAGAATGCATATACATAAACATATAATGAAAATTGGTTCCCTTAACTGTGTGAGAAGAGAGAAAATAAAATCTTAATTTAGTAGAAAACCCCATATTTCATGGTTCCCACATTCCTGGAAATTAATGTTTCATGGCTCTGTTGCTTCCACAGTAAAATATTAAAGCTTTTCTGGTGACATAATGGACCTCAAGAGTAAAGAAACACAAGCCCTTTAGGGGCTTAAATGCATGAGATTGCTGCAGACTGAATAATATTTTGGTTTCCTCCTTTTCCAAGGTGTATTTTAATTCAAGAACTCCCAGTCAACTAATGCAGGCCACTCTTAAATGCTCCTTAATTTGGGTAAGAGCCATTTTTGGCATAAAAGTTCAGGGCTCTCTGCACTTTACCATAGTACAGAATAATAACAATGAATAAGACATTTCAAACAGAAGATCTTGCTCAGAAATCATCTCTGTATCAGTCACTCTTTGATGTTCCAAGACTGGATAATCAATTCAGTGGCTCTGCCTCAACTGCCAGGTTATTTAAACCATTCGTTTACAGAAGTCTTTAGCTCATCAGATTGCAGAAGGAGTTTGAATTCCATTTGTTTGGTGTTCATTTAAGAGTTGTTCCTGATCTTGATGTTACCAGAAATACAATCCAAGATCAAGACCTTGACTAAGACAAGGTTCACAGCACACTGAGGGTCCTTCAAATGCAAGTCCTCATTCCTCACCAACAGGTGATTCAGGAAATGCCCAATTTGTCCTTTAATCAGACATTTCTCCCAGGCAACCCCTACTCAAGTAAAGCCTTAGCCAAAGTGCAGTAAAGCTCACTTCTGCCCTGCCACCACCAAAGCTATTGGTAACACTCACTTTCCCAATATCAGGTCCAGTGCTTCTGTTCTGTATGGCTGAAGACCAGGTATGATCTTTGTTATATAAACATGAGCCTCCTTGCAAAGAGATCACCAAGCCCTGAGTGTAGCCTTCAAATGCTCTTGCAACCCAACAAAATGGAGGGAAGCAATTATTACAGCACTCCAAACAGTGATGCCAGCTGTGCAGCTCCAGCAACCATCAAAGATCAAGCTGTTCATGTTCCAAAGATTACTAAGACATTGCAAATGTCCTTTCATTCCTAACTGGAAACGTGCACCATCACTTGGAAACATACAGCTGAATGGATGTTCTAAAATGCTTTGTTTCTGTAATATTGAAATTACCACTTCAGATATTTTTAGTTTGACTTTCTTGTTTGGATGTTTATATAATCTAAGTCTAAACTGGCATGTTATGTGAGATGATAATGCAGTGTATTATAAACTATTCCTGTAGTTGAAGTGAAACACTAGTTTCCTACAGAATATGCTAATGAAATCAGTACATTCCAGACCCTCAAATTTAGTGAAACAAGTCAGTGATTTCCAGAGGAAACAGTGGTTTTGAGATGAATAGTCCTGTCAAGAAGCATTTGCCCAAGCTCTTTTTCTCCAGACCTGTCCAATCCACTCAGGCAGCTTGTGAGTGCCTGGTCTAGGGAGCAGTCACCATAGGCTCTTTGACAGAGAAGAAGAAGTTGGCACCTCCAGTGCAATTCTGACCACTTTAGAGCTGAACTGGCCTGAAACAAGAGTCTCCCCTCTTTCCAGTGGCTGTGCAATGACAGTGCATCCTTGTTACAACCAATTTAGCATGTTCATTGCAAATGTCAAACAAGAGTGCAGTGTGTTCTGTGGAGCTGTGACTGTCAAAACAAGAAGAAGGTATGGACTTGGATAACCAAACACCCACTGAAGATCAAAGTCATGTAACCAGGACACTACATTCATGGGAGCAATACAGCACTGCCTAATGCCAGCTGGCAAAAGCTTTGCCAGTTATTCCACTGAGTTTCCTGAGTACCTTTGTGCCATTCACTTGTTTTTTCCATGCTCCTAATCCAGACTCCCCAGAGAGTTTTCAATGGCATATCAGACAGTAGGCCTGTCCTGAGGAACTTGGCTCTTCTCTGTGATTAAAACCAGTTGTGCTGTATCCCGTCCTTCTTCTCTTCCTTTGATGCTTCTTCCAACTTGCCAAGAAAACCCCTCCTCCACTTGCCAAAAATGATTTGTTCT